TGTCTTTCTTACCCTAACGTTCTGAAGGGAATTAGGCCCAGAATTGCTTGAACGGAATACTATATCTAAATCGTCAATGAATAATCAGGATAAATAATCGCCGAGTAATTAAAAACTATATTTTCCGTGGGTGAGATGAATTACATGCTTTGCTATTTATATTGAGGGCTGAAGGGTCTATTACGACTGATTTATCAAACAATAATAAAAATATGGGACTTAAGCGACAAAGCATAGTTATTGTAATGCCTTAAATCCCACTAACTATCCTTAAAAGTATCTGTTTATGTCCTCTTGCCTTGCTTTTAAAAAGTCAGTACGATTAAAATTGCTTGATATTTCTATTGAATATGTCTTTGGCAAGTCCTCCAATTGGATGTTGTCCAAACTCCGGTCAGCAAATGACGATAGTTAGTTTGTATAATAAGTATTCAGCTTCTTTATCAATCTAAATGCATCATCATTATCTTCAATACATAAGTAGCTATAGATGTTTTGGGTAAGAAACAACCAATTCCATGTCTAGATTTCGCTCTTCATGGAAGCCGATTAGAATATCCATCTTTAATTTCTTCGATCAAAAACTTATGGGGATAACGATAAATTTATTAGATTCCCTTTTTACCGTTTACGACTTATTCGTTTGATTCCTTTTTACCGTTTATGACTAATTCAAGTAAGATCGTTTGTCTTACAGAGGATCTTACTTGAAGGTTAATATAAAAATGTAAAGAACATTTCTGGACTCAAAACCGAGTGCTTTCATTTTCGTCTACAGCATTTTCTCGTCTTTTGCTTGATGGTTTCATTGAAACTTGGCTCATCATCCACTGACACCTCGCAAGCATAGAACGGCAAACTCTCATAGTTGTTTATTTGATGTCGATGCATAAATAATGTCTTTAACTCTTTTTCTTTCCCTGACGTTGCATTTTATCTTTTCTTGCCTCATGAAATCCTTCAAAATCGAACATGGATCGCATTTCAATAACAGGACAGCCAGTGAAGAGTCTGGGTGTTAAGGATACCAAACAAAGACCCAAAAAAATTGCAATCACAGCAATAACAACAATGGTAATGATAACAATAGCATTTCTAATAACAATTATTTATGTATTTTATTTATTGACTTGGCCATACAACACCAATCAAAATAAATAGATTAAAAAAAATGACAAAAAACGCCAAAAAATGGCAGGGACACCGTAAGAGCGAAGCCAATTACAGCGAGCCCAGAATATAAAAGAAAACGAGACGAGAAAAGAGGAGGAAAGAAGATTTCAATCTATATGCAGGAAGTAATCTTAGAACTTAGTGGACGGACAGTATTACATTTTAAACAAATAGACCTAAAAGTTTTGGGATTATTCGGATCGTAAGAGATAAGTAAACTGGCCAAATAGTATATATAGAAACTATTCCGGTCTAAAATGAGTTCAGAGTTTGGGTTTCAATGTTAATGATTCTGGCTGAGGTGTTCCAAATCCGACAAGTTTTGATGAAAAAGGACTTTTGATAAGTAGTTGCTTTGCAATTTTAGGAACCAATTTGATGGCAGTGTTAGTGTAGTGCGTAGTTCTTACAACATGCTTTACAGGTAATACAGAACCATTCAAAGAGAGAAGGTTATGCGTAGCCTTGTAGAAGAATATCATGTCCAAAATTCGTGCCCATACGTGATGGGTTCAAGTTTCAGCGATTGGAGTCGTGTCCTATAATCTGTAGATGTTGAGAATGATAAACGTAAGATGAACTTTGTGGCTCGTCTTTGGATGGACTCTAACTTGGAAATTAGTTCAATGGATTGAGGAGGCCACACTGGGGTGGCATAGATAATACGGGGGCGCACCAGGCTGACGTATACAGTGCACCTCTCAGGTGTGTTTATGGTGAATTTAGCATTCCTTTGGATGTATCCCAAAGGCTTGTTTGCACTGGCAGCTTACCTGTAAACTTTGTTGTTCCAGGTCAGGTCACTGGATACAAGACACACCTAGATCACGCTCTGACGCTGTAGACTTAATGACGCAGCCGGTAATCTGGTAGCTTGCGGAGATTGAACGTCGTTTCCATGTAATGGTTTGGACCTTGCATTTGGTCACGTTGAAAGACAATCCGGAGTCAGCAGACCACGCGGAAAGGCTATCAAGGTCCTCTCGGAGAGAGGCACAATCGTCCCTGGACTTTATCTCTTTATAGATTTTTGTATCTTTGCAAGCATCATTACCTGGCTGTTTCTTACGGCATTCGGGAAACTGTTCACATAAATAAGGAATAAGGCTGGTCCCAAAATGGACCCCTACGGAGCCCCGAAAGTGACTGGTTGATCACGTGAGAATGCACCAAGTTCAGTGACACGTTACCGTCGGCCTATGAGGTAGGAATTAAACCATCATAGTAAGTTTCCGCCGAAAGCCGCTTCTTGGAGCTTGTGCAATAAAAGGTCGTGTCTGACCTTGTCGAACGCCTTAGACATGTCGAGGTTAACAGAGTCTATCTGTTTTCCCCTATCCCAAAGTGAGCCGATGGTGTCGAGCGATTCGAGCAAGTTGGTTATACTCGATTTGCCACTCTGGAATCCATGTTGCCTGGCAGATATAAGCCCGGACAGTTGTTCCTTGATATTGTTAACAACACAACGTTCCATAACTTTTGGAACGATACCCGAGTAAAGGGATAGGGCGGTAGTTTTCGACGTATGCCTTTTTATTCTTTTTGTGGACAGGCACTGTGTTAGCCAGCTACCCCTCTCGTAAAGTTGTATTAGACAACACGGTTAAAGACGGAGCTATGATAGAAGCGGTCTCTTTTAGGAGCCTGGCAGGAATCTCATCGGGGCCGGCAGCTTTTTCGGGTTATAACGCCTCAAGAATTGATTGAACTTGTTGAACAGGCAGGAAAATGTCCGAAATGACGGAGTTTGACGTAGAGTCCTCGGTGAGCAGGATTGAGTTCGCAAGACGACTGCGTTATCTGAAGTCAAGCATTCTCAGCCCATTCCACCGGTTGTGGTGAATATTAAGGGTGTAAATGTTCTGTGTTCAATGTCGAGAACTGTCCTTGAGTACTGTCACTTCTTCTAATTCTCATGTAGATATTCTGTGGCTCTAGGCTATTACAGGACATGGGATTTGGTTGTAAAACCCTGACATCAAAGAATGCCGATCGCTGGTGTTCGCGGTATCCATGTGCAACAATGACCAGCCTTGTGCGTTGTTAGCTCCTCTGTTCAGTTGTTCTTTGTTGATATCTAGAGGGACGGGTTCGCCTTCAAATCGTTGCATACCACACTTAAGAGTTCGGGGTCCAGGTCTCTCAACTCATTATTTCGTTGTACAAAATCATGGTGGATGTTTCATGTAGACTCGTGATAAGAGGTTGGATCCTTAGAGTACAGAAAGCCATTGCGATCGGATCTCCCTGTGTGGTACTTTCTGCTCAGTGACAGGATCTCTCTACCACCAGTGATAAGTTAATAATTGTCTCTACGTCTTAGTCACGAAAGTGCTTACAATGTTTACCTCTGTTTTAATGATTTTGCAATCGTTCCTTTGAGCATCAGCCGCATATAGAAGCTGAGTTAGCATTCCTTTAAAGTAGTTTTCCCATTGATTTCGAGTGGCCTTGTCAACCTTGACCTCTTGAAGTTCTGTAGATGGTTACCGATAAAGGACAAGAGTGGGAAAATTTAAAATAATGACACAAAACTTCTCAATAGTTATATCAAAAATTATAAACAGCGTGTTAAATTGAGCAGGTGCGAACTAGAACGCCATGTTCAGGTTTATAATGCCAGGTAGTGTCATGATTTAAAATAAAAATTACGTTTAAAATAGTTTGCTTCAGACTTCAAAAGAGATGATTAAAAGAAAACTGGCATGTTGGTCTCCTGATTAAGCTTTATAAAGAAAAATTTTCATGCCCCACAGTCAGTCATATGTACTCTGTGGCTTTGAACTCTCAAGCGGCAGATGAGTGAGGAAGTTGGTCTGCAGTCAGTCGTTCGATTGTACTTATGCATGGTCCTGCAAGTAACTTGATGGCTTGGACAACCGTCCAGATCTAATGGTCTGGTCTCCAACACTTGAGGCTTGTCAGGCGTTACAGAAAGTGACTGCCAGTTCTTGGTTTTGTCGCTGTGGCTTTGTCTAGTTGTTAGGTCATTGTAGCGTCTGCTAACGGGGGTGGTCGAGGCTTGTCTGGAGTGGCTCGGATGGATGACTGCTGGGGGATCATCTTTTGTATCAGGGAAGCCATCCAAAATGGTGCTTTTTAGCCTCTGTAAAGCTGGGTCACAAAATCTGTCTCTCTGGGTTTCATTGGTTTGGTGATCTGGAACGGAAAGGATGTGGTTGGTGCTAGTGCCATCACAGTCCTTCATGAAAGCTCTCGATAGATAGCCGGTCGGCAGTATACCTCTCCTAGGCTTGTAGCTTGTCTCGTAATCATACTGCTGAAGTGGTAACAAGGCACTCTAGCTTCTTGAGTGCTGATGCTAAGGGCTTCTGTATGATAAAGACCAGGGCTTTTTGATCAGTCCGCAAATGTCTTTCTTAACGAACACATATTGGTGGTTATGCTCCATGCCAAAGA